ATATATATATATATATATATATATATATATATATATATATATATATAAACTAAACAGCCTACATAATTTCTACAGTCTCATTTTAATGGGCAAAGCAAATGTTTATCAAATGAAATGAATTGTTCCAACTAATCAGAAATCCCATTATGGGTCTTGCTCAAGGGCCCACAGTGGGGCAAATAAAGGTAATGTAGTTGAAAAGTTAAAATAAGGTTTGTTGTACCTTTGTTGTAGAATTCACAATCATAAGCTGCAGAGAGAAAAAAAAAAAGAAAAATCAGAGGTAGAACTGGTTTGCAAACAGCATTACAGTCACATTACAAAATGTTTTAAATGCAAATCAAATGGGCATTACTATTTAGTAAATCTTCAGTTTTTTTACAATGTGTTTCTAAACTGTAACTAAAGGTATCAATTCCAGGAAGTGATTTAAACACATTCAAAGTGTAATGTTTGTTTCATGTATTTACACCTATTATTATTATTAGTAGTAGTTGTAGTAGTTTTATCTCTTAAAAGTTCTACATAATCTCTCACTTCACACTGAAACCATTTTATTCATGGACGTGAAGTCAACTTTAAATCAGCCACTAGGGAGAACAAGCCAGTGTATCTCTTGTGCCCGTGCCAAGCCCAGGTAAATGGTGAGGGTTGTGTTAAGAAGGGCATCCAACATAAAATACATTTTCCAAAACTAATATGCAAGTAAGCGACACGGTGCCGGCGGAAATTCTGCTACTGTTAGTCGAAGACCACGAGGAGGGAAACGTGTCAGGAGACAGAGGGAGAAGAGGAGAGTGAAGAATGAAGGACTGAGGGTTGCAACTCTAAATGTGGGGACAATGACAGGCACAGGTAGAGAGCTGGCTGACATGATGCAGAGAAGGAAGGTAGATGTTTTATGTGTCCAAGAGACCAAGTGGAAGGGCAGCAAGGCTCGCAGCATTGGAGCAGGGTTCAAACTGTTTTACCATGGTGTGGATAGAAAGAGAAATGGAGTAGGGGTGGTCCTGAAGGAGGAGTTGGCAAAGAATGTAGTAGAGGTGAAGAGAGTGTCTGATAGGGTGATGTGCCTGAAGGTAGAAGTAGACAGTCTGATGCTAAACATTGTCAGTGGTCAGTTGTCATCCACAGATTGGATGTGATGTGGAGGAGAAAGATACATTTTGGAAAGATGTGGATAAAGTGATAGAGAGTATTCCCAGGGAGGAGAGAGTGGTGATTGGAGCAGACCTGAATGGACATGTTGGTGAAGAAAACAGTGGGGATGAGGAAATGTTGGGTGGTGTCAAGGAAAGAAACCAGGAAGGACAGATGGTGGTGGATTTTGCCAAGAGAATGGTAATGGCTGTAGTCAACACTTGTGCAAAAGAGGAAGGAACATAGAGTGACCTATAAGAGTGGAGGAAGGAGTATGAAGGTACACTAAATTCTGTGTAGAAGAGGAAGCCTGAGGGAGATTGGAGACTGTAAGTTTGTGGCAGGGGAGGGACATTCAGAGAGGAGCTGTTAAATGCACTGGGGGTTAAGAAAGAGCTTCCAAATGACTGGATACTACTGCAACAGTAATTAGGGAGACAGGTAGGAAGGTACTTGGTGTGTCATCTGGACAGAGAATGGATGATAAGGAAACCTGGTGGTGGAATAATGAAGTGCAGGACATAATAATAATAATAATGAATTTAATTTGTAACGCACTTTTCATTAACAAAAATCTCAAAGTGCTACAGAGTGCAACTAAAATCAATGATAAAATCAACTAAAATCTGTGATAAAATCAACTAAAATCAATGATACAATCAACTAAAATCTGTGATAAAATCAACTAAAATATGTGATAAAATCAACTAAAATATGTGATAAAATCAACTAAAATCAATGATACAAACAACTAAAATCAATGATACAATCATGTGGAGGCAGAATAGGCTTGCTTAAAAAGAAAAGTCTTTAAGCCTTTTTTAAAGTCAGTCAATGATTGTGGAGCTCTCAGATATTCAGGGAGGGAGTTCCAGAGGCGGGGGGCAGCCACACAGAATGCCCGATCTCCCATGGTTCTTAATTTAGTTCGTGGCAGGTGGAGGAGATGACTGTTCTGTGATCGTAGGGACCGGGTGGATGAATATGGAGCAAGAAGGTCCTTCAGATAATCTGGTGAATTTCCATATAAACACTGATGGGTAATGAGAGCAATTTTGTACTGAATTCTGTAGGTGACAGGAAGCCAATGGAGGTTATGGAGAATGGGTGTAATATGTTCAAATTTACGAGCTCTCAATAAAATCCTGGCTGCACTGTTTTGAATATATTGAAGCTTCTGAAGGTTTTTGCCGGGGATCCCAGTAAACAGGGAGTTGCAGTAGTCGAGCCTGGAGGAGACAAAAGCATGGACGAGTTTCTCTGCATCAGCAAAAGTGAGAGATGGGCGCAGTTTGGAGATATTTCTAAGATGGAAGAAACAGGTTTTAAACAGATGCTTAATGTGATTTTCAAATGTAAGATGAGTGTCCATTTTTATTCCAAGATTTGTAACAGAGGTGGTGGAGAGGGGGATGTCTTGTCCGGAAAATGAAATAGTCGTTATAGTTGAAGTTTGAACCTGGTGAGGGGTGCCAATCAGTATGGCCTCTGTTTTGGAGCAGTTTAACTGAAGAAAGTTCTGATTCATCCATGCCCTTATCTCCTCCAGGCAGGTAGAGAGGGCAGCGAGTGAAGATGGAGATGACAGTGGTGAAGATGATGCTCCGGTCCTGATGTAAAGCTGTGTATCGTCGGCATAACAGTGAAAAGAAATGTTGTACTGATTAATAATTTGACCTAAAGGCAACATGTAAAGGGAAAATAGCAGGGGCCCTAAAACTGAACCTTGAGGGACACCACAGGAGACACAGACAGTCTGGGACTTGGCATTGCCAAGACTAACACATTCCAGCCTATTGGAGAGGAAAGATTTAAACCAGTCCAGGACAGTGTCACAGAGACCGACCTCCACATGAAGACGGTGGAGGAGGATACTATGGTCCACAGTGTCGAAAGCTGCAGTGAGGTCAAGGAGAACAAGGAGGGAGGGAGAACCAGTGTCAGCAGCCATGAGGACATCATTGGTGACTCTCAGCAGTGCGGTCTCAGTACTGTGAGCTGCACGGAAGCCAGACTGAAACTTCTCATACAGGGAGTGTTGTTGTAGGTGGATCTGCAGCTGAGCAGCAACTGCTTTTTCCAGCACTTTTGACAGAAATGGGAGGTGAGAAATTGGGCGGTAATTAGAAAGAATGTCTGGATCCAAATTAGATTTTTTCAGAAGAGGCCTAATGATGGCAGTTTTAAGAGGCAGTGGAACTTGACCAGATTGCAGTGACTTATTTATTATTTGTGTGATTAATGGGCTTATTGCAGAGTGATTGGATTTAATGAGAGACGAGGGGAAAGGATCCAGGGCGCAGGATGAAGGCTTCATTTTCTTGATGATGGTCTCCACTTCACTCTGAACAACCTCATCAAAGCAGCTCAGGGACCCAGAATGCAGACGGGTAGATGGCAGATGAAGATCAGGGAGGCTATGGAGCTGAGATCTAATGGAGTTAACTTTGTTTTTAAAAAATGAAAGGAACAGGTTGCATTTTTGAACAGTCCTCAGCATGAGTTTGTTTAATGGGATTAAGGAGATGATTTATTGTGGAGAAGAGTTGTTTAGAGTTTCCAGGGCAGTTGTTGATGATGTTGGAATAATATTTGGACCGTGCTTCTTTAAGAGAAAAGGCGTAGGCTTTCTGATGTTCTTTATATGCCTGCTGATGTACAGAGAGACCAGATGATTTTACACGTCTCTCAATAGCACGGCCAGCTGCTTTCATCTTGCGCAGCTCAGCAGTGTACCAAGGGGCTGAACGGGAGAAAGACACCAGCCTTGCTTTAAAGGGAGCATGGAGGTCCAGAAGCTCCTGGAGAGATTGGTTGTAGTAATCCACAGAGTCATTTGCAGATGAGTGATTGACAGCGGTCATGGAGTGGAGATCAGAGGACAGAACCTCAGGGGAAATGTTTTTAAAGTCACGGAACTGGATAAGTCGTTTAGGATTAGGAGCAGATGAAGTTGAAGGCACTTCCAGGGAGATGACACTGTGGTCTGAGACACCCAGGTCATATACAGATAAGTTATTGATAGGTACAGTGTCTGTAATCACCAAATCCAGAGTGTGCCCCCTGTTGTGCGTAGGGGCGTCAACATACTGAGTGAGATTGAGAGAATCCAAAAGGGACTTAAACTCTGCTGCCAGAGGGGAAGAGGAATTATCAATGTGGATATTTAAATCTCCAAGAATAATATTTTTCACAGGAGATGCGCAGAAAAAAGTGAGGAGGTCATGCATCTCTGAGTTAAATGAAACATGTGGTTTGGGAGGCCGATAAATCAATATAACATTCATCAGGAGGGGGGCTTTGAGGTTGAAGGCCAAACATTCAAAAGACAAAAAGTCCTGAGAAGCTAAATGTGATAATTTTAAATTACTGCGGTAAATTACAGCCAGACCACCACCACGGCCAGTGCAGCGGGCTTTCTGCAGGTAACTGTATCCAGAGGGACAGGCTTCATTCAGAGAGCTGTACACATCTGGTTGATGCCATGTTTCAGTAAGGCACAAGAGGTCCAAATTCTTCTCCAGAATATGATCATGAATAAGACATGATTTATTGGATAGCGATTGAACATTGAAAAGTTCTATTTTAATATTGGTTGGAGTAGAAGCCTTTAGAAGGGGTTTAAGCAGCCTGAAGTCCACTCCACGTTTTCCTTGCCACTTCGTGCGCTGTGTTCTTTCAGCAATATCAGGAACTACAGAGGCAGTGTTCTGATGACGTAATCGATGTGCGGCAGGACCGGTAGACCAGATGGAAGGGATGGAGTCAGACCCAGCTTGCCGAGAGTAAACAGTTCTCTTCGAGAGCCTCTATGGACATAACGAGGTCTACGCAGAAGGCCCAGTTGTTTAATGGTAGAAACAGAAGGAGGAATGGAGCAGTTGTTGAGTCCAATCAGCTGGGAGGCGGAGTAGGTCAACATCGACGAGCCAGCCAAGCCGGGGGAAGCTAGCACAGAGCTAGCCGCTAACAGCAGACCCACGGCTCCGAAAAGGATATCCAAAAGGCAGTGCGATGTAATCCACAGCATAGCACAGGAAAAAATCCAGCAAAAGATGACAAACTGGAACAATCCAGATGACACAGGAGGTTGACAGAAGCAGCAAGGTGAGCGCAATAGTTGCTAGTTCTTCAAGCAAAGTCCGAGCCGCCGTGCTGGAGTTGTATGTTTGACAGCAATAGTCCCAAATTCCTGTTAGGGAGTGCTAATAAGCTGTCTGTTATAAGTACTGATTGAGAAATTACTGAACAAAAATAAGTCCAGATAAATGTCCACGAATATAGCAACAGTATAATGACTTTTTAGCGCGGAGAAGCGAACATGCAGCGCCAGTCCTCTCCCCATTGTTCAAAGAAAGAAATTAACCAAGAAGAAATATGACAATGAGGGGACTGAAGAAAAGAGACAGGAATATTAGAAGATCAGGGCTTAATTTGTAAACTGACTGATGCCGGAACAGCGGGCAGGCCTGGTGGGGTGGGGGGGTGGGGGTCCGTGGGTTCTCTCACAGAAAATTTTGAATAACAGAAATGCCATTTCCTGCATTTTGTTATATTTTAATGGGTTGTTATACATCAACATTTACCTACATTTGTAAACAATAAAATTACTATTTTGAAGAGCAACAGCAGGTTGTGTGTGAGCAGCTCCGATTCTGTCAGGTATCTTAAACCCCCCTCCTCCCTCCCCTCACTTCACGGTTCTGAGCTGAACTCTTCTCCGCTCCTGCTCCAGTCTCATGGCACCGTTTGAACAACCTGAAGGCTTCAATGCTCTGTTGTCTAACTAAGGACAATCCATCCAGCCAGTCATCCATGTTTTATTAAAGTAAATTGGACTGTCTTTTTGACATTTTGATCACTGTTATTTTGACAAATTAGCGCCGTTGTTTTGAAACATGACGTATCATGTGAATAACACATCAATCATTTTTATCTGTATTTTAATTTTTTACAGTAAGCTTTTTTATTTTATTATGTCTGAAATGTAGCAGGAGTTCAGACACCTGCTGATGTGTGTGTGCTCTGTAGAGCTGTCTGGAGGTTTTTCAGTGTGTAACGTGCACTGTCTGCAGGGCATTTATTTATTCTGTTGAATAAATGATCGCTTCTGTTTCAGGGGTCTGAGAGGAGGAGAGAGGGTGTTTTTCAGTGTGCGGCCCCGCTGAGGAGGGACAATATTTGGAGAGGAAGAGGAGAGAAGGACTCTGTGCAGAATCTCTGTGCGAAAATGTGACAATTTGTCCCTCCGTCCTCTCCCCCCCCCCCCCCCCCGTCTAGATGCTCCTCTCCTACTCCTCAAAGGAGAGTGTAGCTGGTGCGCCACACGTGCTGCAGCTGCAACATCCACTCGGCTAAAGGCAACATCTCCTCTCATTGTATTTTTAATAAAAATGCACGATGACCATGGACTTTTAGGGGCGGAGCTGCCATATCCGAACTAAGAGTTGCCGGAACAGAATGGGCCAAAATGAGAGAATTCCCGGATCTTGTTCCAGCAGGATCCGGCTCAAATTAACCACTGAAGGAGATGCAACGTAGAGCAAAGAGAGACGTGTAACTGTCACGTTCCGGCTCCTGCCTGCCACGGTTTCTGTCCCTCATGCCTTGTTTATGCTGCCAAGCTCAGTTTGCCTATCACCCATCCGTCAACTCTTCTTGCTCCTTTCACTCCATGCCACACCCACTTGTTACCTCCACTGCAATCAGCCTTCATGCTGCTCACCTGTTCCCTGCCCTATTTAAGTTTTAGGTTCTCAGTCCTCCAGTGCCAGATTATTGAAAGCCTCACAGTGAGTAAATGTCCAGCGTTCATGCCACAGTCTCGTTTGTCTTCCTGGTTTTGACCTCATGCCTGCTACACGGATTCCTCGCCTTGCTCGTTCCCTGTCTTTCTAGGATTATCTGCTCTGCTCACGGTCACTACCTCTGCTTCCTCTATAATGACCATGACTTCTGGATCTCATCTCAAGTTTGGCTCCGGACCTATGACCACCCATGTATTAACCACGCCTGCCTTTCTGGACCTGTCGTTTGGATCTCCCTCCTTGCTGCTCACTGCTCAGCTCTGTCTCAACGTCGGCTCATCTTCACCACCAGTGATGTCACCACAACCCACTCCTTCAAGGAATTGTTCCCTCACCTGTCAGTGAAGGTTGATGACTGTCATCTGAACATTACCATAGAACTCCTGCTCATTAACTCTCCTGTCTCTTCAGACTGTGCCAGCCCAAGGACTAAGACCTCCACCAAAAGGAGTTTATTAATAAACCTTCCTGTTGTCTGTGATCTGGTTCAAATCCCAAAACCCCTTTCTTTGTCAGTAACTAAGGCAAAGCAGAAGACGTCTCATGATTTTTAAGGCAGGCTGGACACTAACGAAGGCAAGAAGGACTTGTACTGATTGGTGAGACAGAGGGATTAGGCTAGAAAGGATGTGCAGCAGGTTAGGCTTGTTAAAGATAGGAATGGTAATGTTCTAACAAGTGAGGAGAGTGTGACAGAAAGATGTCAAGAGCACTTTGAGGAGCTAATGAATGAAGTGAATGAAAGGGAAAGAAGCTGTGGTTAATTTGAGCCAGCTCCTGCCAGAACAAGATTCGGGAACACTCTCATTTTGACCACTTGGATTTGGCAAATCAAACTCCGCCTGTAAAAGTCCAAAGTCAATGTGCATTTTTATTTTGATTATTTATTAAAAAATACAACGAGAGGAGACTTTGCCCAGTCTGTGGAGTGGATGTTCCGGCCGCACCACGCTCCTGCCAGCAGAGACGCGGACTGCATGTCCCATGGGGAGCGTCTTCATCCACCTTCAGCTGTGCGCCTGCAGACAGTTGTTTTATGCAAAGCGTCTCCAGACAGCTCTGCAGGACGCATGCACAACTGCTGTGTCAGAACTCCTGCACCACGGTGCATAACATTTAAGACAAATAAGCTTATAGTAAAAAAAAAAAAAAAAAGAGTGAAATGTTTGATGTGTATTAACATCAAGTATCAAAACAGCAGCACTAATCTGTCAAAATAACAGGATCAAAATGTCGACAAGACCGTCCAATTTATTGTCTAAAATAAATGGATGGATGGATTGTCCTTGATTCAAGCACCTGACAGGCAGTAGTAACCGAGATTAGAGCAAAACAATGTGCAGGACTGAATTCAGCAGAGTTTGGGTCGGACAGTGTGGGTGGGGGTGGGGGTGGGGGTGGAGGGGTTAGGATGCTCGACATAAAAGAACCTGCATTCACACACTGACTTGTTAATTGTTGTTGCTCTCTAAAATAGTAATTTCACTTCAACCTTTATTTATAAAGGTTATCAATACTGAGCCTCATCATTTACAAGAGAGACCTGTTTTTAATCAATCAAATGTTTACAGATGTTTAACAACCTTTTAAAATACACCAAAATGCAGGAAATGGCATCTCTTTTATTCCAGATTTTCTGGGGGGAGAACCCACGGACCCACAGTTGTTGGAAGGTGCTATAGAAATAAAGTTTATTATTATTATATTATTATTATTATTATTACAAATTAAGCCCTGGAAAGAAGAGTAGAGATCATAGAAACTGTGAACCAGGAGGAGGGAAAGATTAGTGAGGCTGAAGTTCAGAAAGCTCTGACAAGAATGAAGAAGGGGAAGGCAGTAGGACCTCAGTGGAGGTTTGAAAATATCTTAGATAGATAGCAATGAAGTTTTTGACTCAAATATTCAATGGAATATTTGGGGGTGAGAAAATGTCTGATGAATGGAGAAGTGTGCTGGTTCCCATTTTAAGAACAACGGTGATGTACAGAGTTGTAGCAACTACAGGTGAATTAAGTTGATGAGTCACACAATGAAGATCTGGGAAAGAGTTGTGGATAAGATTATGACAAGAGATGACTATTAGTGAGCAGCAGTTTGGTTTCATGCCAAGAAAGAGCACTACATATGCCATATTTGCTTTGAGGATATAGTCAGGGGTGTCAAACTCCAGGCCTCGAGGGCAGGAGTCCTGCAACTTTTAGATGTGTCTCTGATGCCACACAGCTGAATGATATGACTGAATTAGCTTCTCAGTGCAGTCAAGTTCTCCAAAGTCCTGCTAATGACCTCCTTATTTGATTCAGCTGTGGTGCATCAGAGACACATCTAAAAGTTGCAGGAATCCGGCCCTCGAGGCCTAGAGTTTGACACCTGTGATATAGATGGAGAGGGTCAGTAAGAACTCCATTGTGTCTTTGTGGATTTAAAAAAAGCATATGACAGGGTGCAGAGTTAGGAGGTATACAAAGTAGTATTGCATGAAAAAATCAGGAGTGGCAGAAAAGTATGTTAGACTGGTACAGGACATGTATGAGGACAGCAGGACATGTATGAGGACAGCAGGACAGTGGTGAGATGTGCTGTAGGAGTGACAGATAGCTTCAAGGTGGAGGTGGGAGTGCATCAAGGATTGGCTCTGAGCCCCTTCTTGTTTGCTCTGGTGATGGACCAAGTAACAGATGAGGTCAGGCAGGAATCCCAGTAGACCATGATGTTCGCAGATGACATTGTGATCTGTGGTAAGAGCAGGTGGAGGAAGAGAACTTGGAGAGGTGGCGGTACGCACTTGAAAAAAGAGGAATGAAAGTCAGCCATAGTAAGACAGAGTACATGTGTGTAAATGAGAGGGAGGCTGGTGGAACAGTAAGGCCACAAGGAGCAGAGGTCACAAAGGTGCAGGACTTCAAGGACTTGGGGTCCACTGTCCAGGAAAATTGGGAGTGTGGTAAAGAGGTGAAGAAGAGAGTCCAGGCAGGATGGAGTGGATGGAGAAAAGTTTCAGGAGTGATTTGTGACAAAAGGGTGTCAGCAAAGGTCAAAGGAAAAGTTTACAAGACAGTGGTGAGACAAGCTATGTTGTCTGGTCTGGAGACAGAGACATGGACAAAAAAACAGGAGACAGAACTGGAAGTGGCAGAAATGAAGATGTTGAAGTTCTCCTTAGGAGTGACCAGAATGGAGAAGATCAGGAATGACCGTTGCTGAAAAAACACATTAAAAGTAGAAACAGAGGCAGGTTTTTACATACGGCAGAGAGATGGTGTTCGCCAGTCAACAGGAATACCCTCGTGGCAGCAGCGTTGGGCGTATGCTGCCAAGCTGATGCAAAAACATTCGCTATCGCCTCCACGGCTGCAGGCACAAGTGTCTGCAAGGCAGTTCATGTAGAACCAGGTAACGTCCACCTGAACAAAAATAAAATACTTTGTAAACTACCTTTTTCTTTTTTGTATTGTTTACTTTTTTACTATTTACCAAATCTTACTTAATGTGTTTAAAAGAGTTTAAGTTTATTTAAGACCACACACAAAAACAATCTGCAGATACAGCCAATGGCTATTTTACATCTGTAGGAAAACACATCCTATCAAAAGAAAACGCAACCAGTGGCATCAGCTTGAATTCAAGTTTAAACACTGATGTTCCCGTCACTGAGGGATTTGAATAGTGAATGTTTGTAGTTTTCTAGATGAGTGGGTTTTTTGGACTGGAACTGAAACGGGAATATACTGTAAATAAATCTTATTGTTTTGGGGGCAAGAGGGTACGAGTTGAATTGTGCTCAAGAATAGAGGTAGGTTTCATTCTTTCTTTTTATTTATTTTTTTACTTGTCCGAGGCAGAGCGTTGATCCTGGCGAGTGCTGGGAACAATTTTATCCACAACCAGGTGCAATGGCAGAGCCAGGGGGTGGCCAATGGTGGCCATAAATTAATCTTTGAACTCCCCAAGGGCCACCCCAATCATTTGAGGAAACTATGCTTTTAAGGAATATACAAACTAGAAAGCATAGTTTCCTCAAA